GTGCGAGAGGGCGGGGGGAGAGGGAGGACGAGGCGGGGGGAGCAGCTGGGAGAGCTTCAGGCCTGCCCTGCAACCACCTTCTTGACTTATGTAGGGTGACAGGGCCTAAGTGAAAGATGCAGAGGACCCTGAGGACAAGGCTCTCCACAGGCCACATCTCCGCTCCCACCAGCCACTCAGCTTCACAAGGCTTGAACATGTGGAACCTCTGCTCATTTTATCTGAGTCTCACTCTCAAGTTAACATAAAGAATATCAGAAACTAGAGGGGAATAGGGCTAGCCACACTGTGAGCAAAGGAGCAGGGTAGACAGATGGTGCTATGAACCACACTACCCTTTTGGGAATCAGGGGCATTGGTACAGGGGGTATGGGCTTCCTCAGGCCTGGTTTCCTGAGGGACAGGGGCCCATCAGACAGCACAGCACACCTACAGGGAAGGTTGACTCTTCTTCCTCCAACAGGTCCTAGCAAAGCTACATGTCATCAACTTGGGCTCTGGAGTTGGCCCGGATTCTGGCTGCCTTCATGGTTAGGAGGCAGAGTTAGAAGAGCTGGGGTTAACTGTCAGACACTGTGGCAGAGGACACTATGACTAGTGAGTGGGAAACTCTGGAAATAGAGCCGTTGCCTCTATTTTGGTGGCTGGTGAGTATGCCTCAAACAGAATGAGGGTCCTGCATTCTGTCCTCAGGACCATATGGTGTGTCTAGATGTCTCCATGGAACATTCCTGCACTTAGCTTCCCAGGTGCGAGGTAGCCTCAAAGTTCAGACCAGTGCCCTGTGGAGACTGGGGATGGCCAGTGGAGCGGGCACTGGACTACAGGATGGCTTCAGGGTGCTTGCTGGCTGGTCGTCCCTTTCCTGATCCTGTTAGCTGGGTGCCTGTGGCTTCTGGGTGCCATGTCTGAGAGAACTTTGGCACACAAACCCAAGGATTTAGGGTTTGTGCAAAACCCTTGGCTTGGCCCTGAGATACTTGTCCTTTTCCAAGTCCGACTCCTCAGAAAGATGGCAGACTGATGGGCATATCCAAATTGTAACTCTACTTGTCTTAAAGGTGCCTACACAGAGGAGACCTGGCTGCATCCTGAACTTGACCAGAGCAGTTCAAATTAGAGGACATGGGGTCAGACTCAGCTCAAAAGTCCCTTGAAGAGGTAGTATATGATCAGACACAACAGGGACTGAGAACAGTACCTCTAATCTCTGCTGTGTTGCACAGTATCAGTGACTCTGCCTGGCCAGACAAAGCTTGGTTTCCATACGGCCTACATCTGTGTTTGTTCTAACTCTGCATCAATGCTGAGTGGTGATGTTTGGCAAAAGGCAGAAGAGCTTGTCCAGAAGACCTGTCACCAGGCCACATCTCAAGGATAGCACTGTGCCTCCAGGTGAGCTGTGAGGCTCCACATGGAAGGGCCTGAGGGGCCAAAGACTCTGTTTGCTCCATCTTGGAGCCTTGGTGAAGGCAATATTTCTGACAGATTAATCACAGAAAAGTACCCTAGAAGGTACAGCCCTGTTTGGATCTGCAAAAGGGTGAAGGTTTTGGGTGTGGCTTGTGTGGATGCCTGAAGATCTAGAGAGTTTTAGGCCCTGGACTCCGCTCATATCCACTGTTTCCATGCTTCTGTGTTCTGAGGACAGAACTGTCTTCATATCTGCCTGAATCCCTAGAGACTATGGAGTAATGGGTAGTTCAAGATGGCAGTGTGTGTGGGGGGGCAGAATGAGGAACATGGCCTATGGGCAAAGTGCCAGGGGAGTGAGCCTGATGGATCTAGTGTGGACCAGCTCTGCCGAGACTCCAGATCTCAGCTCATCTGTGAATGACAGCAGCTCGTGTATCAACCGCAAGGACTAGTGGTCACCAGGAGTTCTCAAGGATTTCCAGTTGCTCATATGCCCTATGTTTTTTTCTCCTGCTGGTCTCACAGGTGATACTCATTTAGCCAGGGTGGGCTTCAGAACCCAATGACCAGCAGGATACAGGAAGCCATGTAACCTACAAAGCTGGCTCCACTCACACCCAGACTCTGATGTTCAGAGGCTTAGTGATTCTATGACCTCTTCCCTACTGCAATATATATATATATATATATATATATATATATATATATATATATAACCACACAAGGACACAAACACAGAGATG